GCGTTCAGATTTATACCCCTGGCTGTCTGGACACACTGGCTGGGCAAGTATGTGGGTCCCAGCTGCTCCCTGCCCCCCCTCATTGAAGCAGGTGTGCAGGGATACTGCCCTGGGAACTGCAGGGTACCAGTGGACGTGGGGCTGGCTGCAGACAGGGGCGGGGGGCAGGGCTAGCTGGAGGCAGGGGGAGCAACACGGGCTGGCTGGGGGCAGGGGAGTGCAGAGAGGGGGTGGCTGCAGGGGCTGGCTGTGGGCAGGGACAGCTCAACAAATACTAACTAGAAGATGGTAAGGGTTCCCCTGCAGTCAGGCTGAACACTCTCCCCCTCCCAAACACCTTCTCTGGAGACTGAGACTTGCATTGACCACAGCGGAAGTTTCTGCTTGCTGTTTTCATACCTTTCACTGCCAGCTGTAGCTGCCTGCACCTGCTGCACCTTCCCCCATTAGCCATAGTTCCTGCTTGAGCTGTTTTCAGAGTCTTTTTTTTTTCTTTTTTTGGTTGCATTTTTTTTTTAGAAACATCTCAAGTGTCCTGTGAAATACAGTGAGTGTGAATCTCCCCAGTCATGAGACCCTAGGCCACATGGCAGAGGCAGAAAGCTCCCTGGTTGGGGACACCCCCCTGAAACACACACAAGCGATCTCTGGCTGTAGCAAGTGATGGCCTCGCTTGAGGCAATGGCATGTTGTTAGCTTCTCGCCCGTAGAGAGCAACCCCTGGGACATTGCACTGTGGCAGAGAGCTGTAGCTGCTGTGCACTCACGCAAATCTTTAAAGCGCAATTTTGGAAAATAGTAAGGTGCTGGTGCTGCTTTACTCGTGTCTCCCCAGCGCCTCCTCCTGGGAGTTAGCCAATAGGCCAAGAGGTCAGGAAAGAAACCACACACCTTGGTCAGGTTTTCTGCCTTCATCTAAAGCAACAGCAGGGCACCAGCCTGGAGGGACCAACACTCACCTCCACTAACTAAAACTCTGCAAAACAAATAGCTGCAAAGGAGGAGAGACGGCAAAGGGAGTCTTTAAACTACCCTTAATTTCATATTTTTCTGTTCCTAAAAATATTTCCTAGCAACTGCCTAGTTCATGTACATACCAGGAGTTAATGATGCCCATGGAACTTGTGCTAATAGCACTGATCATGGCAAGGGCCAATGGCCAAGGTCTAACCCAATGCTGGGGTGGTTATATAACCTCATGCCTGATAAATACATCCTTAAGGGGTTCTTGTTTCAAAGGGCCCTCAGTATCTATGCCATCTGCAGCCCCCCAGCTGCTGTACTATTAATGTGACACTATGAACGTGCACAGCATCTCATCAAATGCATACAAAGGTTCCTTCTCTACAACACTTACATTTTCCCTTCGCAAAATAAAACAAAACAGGCTGCTTGAGAGCCAGGGAAGGGTTGGGGGATTCCAAGCATCGGAGAGAGGAGGAGATGCTGCAGAACAATTTGGGACTGCAGGATTAATCACAAGAGTGCAGCATAGTGGCAAAACAAAAGGATAGCAATCCTTCAAAACATGAGCAGTGACTGCACAGTGCTAAACGGTTTTTAACTGCACAGAGTGGCTGTCAGCATCACCTTGCATTTACAACAGAAGATGCAGCACTCGAGCACCACTATCTACCACCATCTCATCTCTGATAAGGTGACAGGTAGGGTATTGTTTGTTTTTTACTGTAAGCCACTCGCCTCTGGCTTGGGAAATGTGCACAGTGCTGTGACTGCGCTGTCCTCTCATGTACGTCTCAGGCTGGGAGAGAGCAGCAAGTGTGGGTGGGAGCGGACAGAGATGAGTCAAAGAGACAAAGTATTTAGGTATTGAATCCAAGCTGAAGCAGAAAGGGGTTGGAGCGCAGCAACAAGAGTTACATAGAGTGTGACACACTAGGGCTATTGGAACACAGATGTGAGGGACCTTACAGCATTCAGTATGGCAGGTGCAGAGATTAGTCCCCATGACTCGCAGGGACAATAGGCTGTTTCCAACTCCTGCTGCTTGGCCAGGGACTCAACATTTTGCTTTAAGGATGGATTTGCTGGGAAAACATGTGTGTGCTTGCGAAAGCCTCTAGTAGAAGGAAAAAGGGGCCTAAAAATAAGGAAGGAGGAAGGAATAGAACAGGAGAATTATGTAATAGCTTCTGTTTGTCACTGCTGTGGGTATGTGTGTGTAATGATGGGGAATTACATGTAAAATAAAACAGAACTGGCAAGCCAACCATGGCACTAATTTTGTGTGTGTGTGTGTGTGTCTCTCTCTCTCTCCCCCCCTCCCCCCCTTGCAGGAAGGTAGATTAGATTAAATTTATTTAATGCAATCCCTCAGGCTTTCTGCTTAAGAGGCTCCTAGAAAATAGAGATGGAAAAGACATCCCCCTATTAGTTCATCAAGTTCAGCCTCCCTTAAGTGCTAGGAGGACATTAAACTGATTCTACTCTACCTCACAATTGCCCATCTCTTCAGTCCCAAAGTCATCCATGTTCCACACAGATCTGGTGTTCCCCTCACAGTTGAATATCATTTACAGATGAGATAAAGTCATGGAGCTGAAGTTCTGGAAAGTTATTCACAACCAAGGAACAAATCCCACAGCACTTTAATTTCCCTGCATGAATAATTTTGTGTCTGTCACAGACTACATCCCCTGTCTGGACCTGGGCAGGTTAAGCAGTAAGGACACACCACTGATTTTAGATGTTTTTCTGCCAATAGGATAATTTATATATAAGACATATAACCAAGAGGAGGGTGAAAAGAAAAAAAAATCAGAATTGGTCTAAGATTCCGTTAGTTGTTGTTTTGCGGAGCTTACCCACTGGATTCTGTACTTTGATCACCCCCACCCGCCGCTCACCGTGCTTTGCCCACTTTTCACTTTTTTCATTAAGGAGTGAGCTCTGCCTTACTCCCAGCTAAACTCCACCACCATGATTCTCCTGCTTGAGCCTTTCATTTAAAAGGAGGGGTCAGGGTGATCAAAGAAGGGGAAGTATCGTTTAGAAAAAAAAAAAAAACTACTGACAAAAATAATTGTTCATTTTATTTTAAAGTTTTCACAGGATTTTTCAACCAAACAAATCAAAAATTGTTCTGGGGTTTGTTTGTTTTTTTTTTTGGGGGGGGGAGGTGAGGGCTGCTTTTTCCCTTTTCTCACCTTTCCACCACCACCCCCCTTCAAAGGAAACAAGGGAAAAAAGGTAAGGGGAAAAATTAAACCAAAATGGAATGAATATGTTTTGATTTGAACAGAAACAAAAAACACAATTTCCTTCGAAAAGTCATCTTTAATTAAAAAAAAAAGTTGAAAAACTTCTGAGCCACTCTATTTAAAAGCCAGGCTTTGTGGCAAATCTGCCGTGAGCTTTCCTTAGCATGGAACAATCATCTTTTAAAAGATATTATTGTTTTCAATTTACAAGGCTAATTAGAAGATGGAATATACTGTGTTATAATTCAGATCTAGGCTATTTGTAGTATAGCTTCTCTCCTGGTAAAAAAACCTCTAATAAAAATACGCCACAGCACTGCTCTCGGGCAGGCTCCGCAAGACGACCCACTCATAGAAAAGGATAAAATGCAGGCAGGGATATGAGTGTACAATTATGTTATTGTGGGATGTAGGTCTTTCATGTGTTTCCCAAGGTTATTGTAGCTTACCCAATTACTCCTGTTTGTTAAAGTTAGTGGGTTTGATTTCCCATGGCACTGCACCTTGTGCATTTACACCAGTGCACAGTGGTGTAAAATGCTGTCAAGTCAGAATACGTGTTTTAAACCCACTCTCTGCTGGTTTAAATGACTACACAAGGTGGGCTTCTCTCTCAGCAAGTTAACCTAGGAAGGAGACGCATCTGATTCCCACCATCTCAGAATGAGCCTTTTGGCCACAAGAACAGAGCCGGCAATCCCAGCCCCGACAGCAGGAGAATTGTAGAGCCAAGCACTGATGAAAACACTTTAAAGATATGGCACAAGTAATCATGGCATGTGAGAAGGGCTGGCATTCTCATCTGCTAGCAAAAACATCCCTAAATAGATGCTTTGGGGTCTAACTACCTTGGTTTGAAATTTTAGCTCGAGACCAAACTTATCTAACCTAAAGGGGGAAAATGTGTTTGTGGGTGGGAGAGGTTAAAAGCCAAGCTCCTCAGCCCAGATAGAATACCGGTCACCCCCCAGAATCCTCAACCTAACCTCATGGACATTGTAAAAACAAAGAGCTGTGCGTGACTTACCATGTCATAGCTCTTCATAGAGATGCTGTAGGGCCCCATTATTTGAGAGGCAGTTTTTCTCCTCCAGTGGTTTGGGTAGTGGCTCTGACAGAGACTATCAACCAACTTCCCTTTTTGATGAGGGGTTAATAATTTAACTGAGTGGGGCGGGGAATCTAGTTCTCATCAACAAAGTATTGAGCTTTTCAACTTTGCAAGGCAAATGAGCTCAAAGCTCAGAATGACCTATTTGAGCATCAGATTAGAATCTCGCTCTATCATCTTTACTTTAAACTGATTTTTAAAATACAGAGTCTAGAGGCTTTTATAGAAGACACTGCACTGGGTTTGGGCAATGTACAAAAAATATTTAAGATTTTAAGACATGTTCTACTCATGGGAAAAGTTTGTTTCCAACCCCCAAAATGCCCTGAATTGGGTATGGACTGGATTGTCATGGCCCTCTAACTCTAATAGCACCAGCTGCTTTAAGCCCTCAGCTTTTCTCTTCTTCCTTCTGTTTCGGCTCTCATCATTATCCAAAGTAATCAAACAGTTTGCTCCAGAAGGACACTGGCAGAATGGTTGGAGCAGGGATGGGGAAATAGATAAGTAATTAATTAATATTTGTACACCACTCTGTGTAAAGTAAGAGAGTCCAATTGATTATACAGTACCCATGTAGCTACTGCATTACTCAAATTCCCATTGAGAAGGATGATGTCTCTGCTTGGTGTGCAGGGGCTGTTGGTTGCCCTGTCTAAAAATGTTGCAAAATCAGTGGGAGAGGGAAGGGCAAATTCATGGTGTCTAAACCCAACCATGAGCTCAGCAGGACAGAGCAGCATGGTATCCTGGCCTTCTTTTCTTCATCCTTGTTTCTACAGAAATAGGGTGACCAGATGTCCCCTTTTTAAAGAGACAGTAATGTATTTCAGCCCTCGTGCAGGTGTCTTGACTTTTTCTAAAAACAGGCAAATTGTCCCGTATTTTCTGTCTACCCCCCATCAGTACAGGTGGGTCCAGCTGCTGGCCAGATCCTGGCTCACCAGCCACCCACCCACCAGTGGTGAGTGGGGTGTTACAGTGGCCAACAATGGGGGTGGGTGTGCAAGGCAGGCAGTGAAGATGCAGTGGGCGGGGCTGGCGGCTCCCCCTGCTGGTCTGTCAGCATAGCCCCTTCTGTGTGCCAGGTCTCAGACAGCGGGGCCCTGCTCCCCGGACCCGTTTCCAGCCGGCACTGGAAGCAGCTCCCATCTCTTCTCTACTGCACCGTGCCAAAAGGCTGCTGCTGGCCCCATTCTGGTGTGAACCCTGGCAGAAATCTGAGGAGAGGGGGCATGTTACCCTGCGTTCCCCCCCACATGTTGCCTTGGGAAGATAGGTCACCAGGTATCAGGAGAGGTGGGTCCATCCCGGGGGCCTAGCCAGGCATGGAGGGTGGAGAGAGCCTGGCAGGGAGGGTCGGGTCGTCACCCGCCCTGTGTGAGAGAGGTATACCAGAGAGTGTGTATGTATCACCTCTCCCTCTGTGAGCCCTTAAGTCTTAAAGAGAAGAAGGTAAATAAAAAGAATCCAATTACTCAGTATTTCTTTTTAAAAGAGACTCAGTCAACTTGATGTTAATTTGAATGGTTATACTGCCATTGAATTTGCTTGAACAGGAGTAATTTTACCAGCTGTCCCATATTCAGCATAGGGAAATATGGTCACCCCAGACAGAGACCTTATTGTGGAGGTGTGAAGCTCTGACAAAGGTAATGCCTGATCTCTGCAAGGCAGAGTGCATTGGCACTGAGGCTGCCATGCTGGAGAGGATGTCTGAATGGAAGTCATGCAGACGAAGTGCGGGGCACACTCCATGCTTTTACTGGCCTTTATGCCCCTCCACAAAGGAGCAGCGAACCGCTGCAGTGAGTCCACATTCCCTTGCCTGTAAGGCAATCAGCTTGAAGACAAGCAGGCAGCTGTGATGAGAAGCACCTCTGCCCCTAAGATGCTGCATTCTGTTCTGGGCACATGGCTGGTCCTATGGAATATATACTGTTCATCCACACCCACCCTGCCACTTCCTGCCTGCCAATGTGGAGAGAGACAGCTAACCAGAGAAGTTGCTCCAATAAAAGAGTACCTTACCCACCCTATCTGACAGACAGACACATACACTCATTTTGTGGCCTGTGTGGACTCGCCTTCATGGCCCAGGAGTCACGGCTGAAAAGCAGCTATCCAAACAAGAGGCAGAGAGCTCACACTCTGCTAGGGCAGGCTGTTGCCAGGGGAATAGGACATGGCACATTGGCTGGTACATTGACAGAGCAAGGCCCTCTGTAGGCTCATGAGCACCAGAATGCAATTGTCTGGGACACTGCAGTACCAGAGTCATATAGTACAGTACTGGGAAGAGCAACACACAGTATTTAGCGGCTGGAAGGACAGAGAGCTAAAGAAGCAAATTTGACTAAACGCCCATGGGAAGGCAGATAGCTACAGGTACTTGAAGGACATAAGCGTTAAAAAAGAGAAGGGCATCATTTAGAGAGGCAATGTAGCCCCCTGGACTGTGATGCAGTAGACCTGGGTTCTATTCCTAACTCTGTCACTGACCAGCTGGGTGACCATGGCAAGTCACAGCCCCTCCCTATGCCTCAGTTTTCCCATCAGCAAAATGGGGATAATGATACCAATGACCTTGGTGAAGTGCTTTGAAATCTACAGCTGAAAAGTTCTACCAAAGAGCACACTATTATTATAGTACATAGGGTGTAACTAGAAGCAAATGGGATGAAATGGGGCCATGGGAAATGTAGGCTGGAAACATCTTCCAACGGTGTGAACTATGGGCCAGTCTGCGCAGAAACCATGCATGTATCTGGTATAACCCTGCTAGGCATGAGCCTTACAAATACAGAGACATGAGGGAGCAACAAGATGCCTCCATTTAGGAACAGGCTTCTGACCTTTCAACTTTCTGCAGCAAAGCATGGAGGTAGAATTACCTCCAAACAGGTCCAGCAACTCTCGGCTATTGCACGGAGCTGCGTAATGACAGCCTGCCCCTTGTAGTAAGATGAGGCCCTGAAACATAAACCCTTGTATCAGACACCCGGTATGAGGCCTGAGGCCTGAAATAAAGTAATGGTCAAGACTTTGTTAACATAAAGCAAAGTTAAACTGTGAGCCAGAGGCAGGCCCTAGAGATATAAACATGTGCCAGGATGGTATCAAGAACACTCCAATACTTGCGCACTCCACACAGATGACAAGGAACAGGCTGACCCATCCTAAAGATGGGTAGAAGGGGAATATGATGGCTAGAGTTGTTTTGTTCGAACCAACATGTACAAGGAGAGAGGCGGCACCTTACTATATAGAGGGGTTGCACCTCAATATGTCAGGAGTGACGTGTAACATGTTTGTACCTGTGTCTAGGGACGCATCCCTGAGTGGTTGTCTTTGTCTGGCCTAGAGGGCAGTGGTAAATCCCGCCACTGCCTGAGCCGGTCCATTGTCAGGGAGCACATATGTACTATGTAGACATCTGATTCGGGGAGCTAGAGACTGTTTCATTTGGCAATAAACCTGGCTGGGTGCCTTCGTACCTTATCGGAGTCTGTGGTCATCATGTTTTTCTTACAAGATCTGCAGAGCCGGGGCAGCACACAGAGGGGAAAACACACACACACACACACACACACACACACACACACACACACACACACACACACACACACACCACCCTA